TAAGCCACAAAACGCCCACTAGTTCACTAGTAAGATCATTTTGACGCTTACTAGTTGACATGTATGCCCCAAAACGCCCACTAGTTCACTAGTGAGATCATTTTGAAGCTTACTAGTGAACATGTAAGCCACAAAACGCCCACTAGTTCACTAGTAAGATCATTTTGACGCTTACTAGTTGACATGTATGCCCCAAAACGCCCACTAGTTCACTAGTTAGATCATTTTGAAGCTTACTTGTAAACATGTAAGGCCATAAATGTGCCCACTTGTAGTGCTAGTGAGTCGTGACATTACACTGTACTTGCATTACATGCAAATAAGGATGATTACGAAAACATGTAACGGTATCCTATTGGCTGTCCGTTTCCAAATATCATTGGAAAGCACTAAATGTCCTCTTTAGAGTAACAAAAGGAGTTAATGCGATTGGATGCACTGGGTGGGAGGTATTTAGGTTCACAAATGTCCTCTACAGAGGACAAATTTGAACTACTGGTAGTCAGGATGACATGGCATTACGAGCCGGGCGCGTAAGGGTTAAAGCTTTAAGACTGAATATTCATTCTCTGAATATTGACCAATCAAAATTCTTGTCCCGCCTGCTTCATTTGCATGCAGCCCACTTGTGAACATGTCGGTGTTCGAGTCGCAACTGAGACATGAATGATCGCATGTTACAGTTGACATGCTCACTTGTAAGGACCAAATGTCCACTGGTAGACTAGTTCAGGTGTTCTGGCCTTAGCAGTGAACTTGTCAGTTTAAAATTTGATCACTAGCTCACTATTAAGGCATGTTATGTCCACTAGTTACACTAGTTGGATCTTCCAAATCCTACTAGCTGACTAGCGAGGTTCAAAATGTTCACTAGTTAACTTGTAAATATGACAATTTCTACTAGTTGCACTAGTTGGTCTCATTTCTCCCTCACTTGTGAACTAGTGAAACACATGTTTTTTTTCTAGTAAACTAGTTGAGTCCAGAGTGAGCCACTAGTTCACTAGAGACGCTCATGTTTATTCAACTAGTTAACTAGCGGGAGGCATTTTGTCTCACTAGTCAGACCAAGAAATGAACTTGTGCAAGATTTGACTGAACACGTTTGACATTTTTCCTACATGTTGGGCTTTTCTTTTCACTTGTTGGTGTTAATCAGCACGAGTGAGCGACTGTGCACAACGAGTGCAACAAATATCTAACATGTAGGGATTTCTGTTGCACTAGCTCATGTTTTTGGCATACTAGCTGGCATGTACATCGTACTAGCTAAATGCAATTGCTTACTTGTTGACATGTGTGCACAACTAGTGAACTTGTAAAGTTTTGTAACTGCCAAACATGTAAACTAGCCAAATGTGATTATTTCACGAGTAAACTAGATGTGTGCACATGTCACCTAGTGCCCAGTTTTGTCAAACATGTTCAGTCAAAGTCTATACAAGTTCAGCATTGAGTCTGACAAGTGAGACAAAATACGTTCCACTAGTTAACTAGTGATATGAAAATCTGTGTCACTAGCTCACTAGTGTGTCACTCTGACCCAACTAGTTTACTAGTGAGGAAACATGTGTATCACTAGTTAACAAGTAAAATGAAAATGAGCCCAACTAGTGTAACTAGTGGATATCTCTACATTGCCTTGTGAACATGTTCACATTTTGAAACCGTCTAGTTCACATGTAAGGTCAAATCGATTGCATCTAGTTTACTAGTTTGGATTTCTGGATTCACTCGTCGACATGTAACCAGTAATGGGCATCCTCTAGTGAACTAGCTGCAAATCCTCAGGACAACTTGTAAACTAGTGTAAAACATGCAAATGAAGTGGGTGTGATTATGACAAAATCTGAATCCCGATTGGTGTATTTTAACTGCAGATCCAATAGGAATCCTGCAGCCACATTTCTGCCCCACCTCCTCATTATTTTTTGTGCAACTAGCTTACTAGTGAGCAGGTTGGCATCCACTAGTTCTACTAGTGAACATTTTAGACCTCACTAGTTGCACTGGTGTGACATTAAATGTCACACTAGTGAAACTAGTAAATATTTGGGGCATCACCAGTGAACAAGTAACATTTTTGACACTCACTAGTTAGATATCAAGGCGTCAAGGGGCTTTAACTAGTAAACTAGCTGCTGTTTTATCCGCCACTAGTAAACTAGTGAGTATTTCAGCTCGCATTTGTTTACTAGCGCAGGAAATCACGGGTCACAAGTTCACATGTTAGAATAATCCATGATTGACAAGTTAACATGTTGCTGAAAATGAATGACTAGTTGGAGTTCGTATGCAACTAGTTCGACAAAGTGTGTCACGTGTGTGGCTGAGTGTCGAACTAGTGCTGAAAGAGATCAAACTAGTGTAACACACCAATGTCTGATATCAGGGATTTGGAATAAATGCTCAAATGGCTTGCCATATTATACACGACTGACGATTGCTTGTCGCTACTTTCAAGGCGCAGTTTGTATTATATAGTGCCATCTAGTGGCAAACTAGTAGAATGCAACAACCTAAACTCAAAACGCGTGCCGACCAGTCTGTCTATCGTCAGTCCTTCCACCCATGAAAAAAAATATAATCATCCAAAAATTGAAAATCCACTGTGATAAGAACGGCAAATGGAATGCACTATCTACAATATAAGAATCTACAATCTACATCATACGGTGGCACAATTTAATTGTATCATTATTGTTTTAAAATGAGGATGTTTAAAATCTACCGTAAGTGACAATCACACATCAGATGGATGGCAAAATAATTGTTTGTCAAAACAAGAACTCTATACAGTACATAATTTTTTTTTGACAACTGATAATCTGACTGCAGGTAATATGTGTGACGCCCCAAGCCAAAGCAAGAATCCGGGTCCCGTTCATTTAGAATGCTTCACAAGTTACACAAGATCTGGTGAATATGTACACTGTATTCGTATTTGCAAAGTACACAGTACCTGCATGTTGTGTTCCCTCTAAAAGTAAACAGTCGACGCATCTGAGTTATCGAGACAAGAGACGTCAGGAAACCGGCGAAGGGCCGAGTCATTGTCATACAGTGAACGTGAGCTGGTAAAAAAAGAGTTGCAACACGTCTTGACTGTTGGGCAACCTTATGCATGAGGACATCTCGAGACAGGATCATGTGCAAGAAGTCTTTTGCAACAAGTGTGGTGTAATTTTGGAACCCAGGGACACTCATTTTAGTCAACTCCAAATTCTCTTTCTCTCTCACATCCGTTGGAAATTATTTTTTGAAATAATAAAAAGACATGTTGAAAAATAATTCAAAATATGATTTAATAAATTACAACTACAGCAATGACAAACACATCACATAAAGCATGTATCTCCACGTTATGTGGGTTCATTTTCATCCAGCGCCCCCCCCCCAAAAAAAAAAAATCAACAAAATGTTGAACGGACAAACTTTGGAGATACAACGCATGCGCAACACATTTGAGAGTGGTTCACTTCCAAAATAGATTACCGGTAAATGAATCAACTTCTTAAAATTCTAAATCAAAAAGAAAAAAAAAGGTTTTAATATTATTGCATTTTATAGATAGAAAATATATATATATTGGGGGGGGGGATAATTTACAGTAATCCCTGCACATTCGTGTGTCAAGAATTATTTGTACTTTTTTCTGTGGAACCTGGTCCTTGCAATTTGGTGAAGAACTCACCTTTGTTGCTTGTTTTGTCCACTTTTCTGAAACACCCAAAGGTGCCACAAGATCCTGCCTTGTCAAAATAGGAAGTAGGACAGTTAACATTGTTAAGGGAGCAACACTGTACATGCTCTTTGTTGTACGTTGACAAATGAATAAATAGCACAAAGACAAAAAAAATGCAGGTGTCATCCAAGGCTTTACGTTATTGTGCGGATGAGAGCAGCCAGCGCACAAAGCCAAAACGAGGGTCTCGTCGATGTGGCGCTGCCCGTGACGTGTACGGCGTAGCGGGCGAGCACGCGGCTGAAGCCCCTCTCTTCTGACACGCACGTGTACGCCCCCTCCCGCTTGCCGTTAATCAGGAGCAGGCACCCGTGGGGGCTCCAGGCGCAGGGTGTGGCGCCCCCGTCATCGTGATGCCAGCTGTAATGGGCATGGCGGGACCCCACGGGGCAAGGCAGGAAGTACCGGTGTCCGTGAGGAAGTGCCACAGCCACCTCGGGCATGGTTGAGCGATTGACCACTGTAAACATAGACACCCACTTAATACAAAACATGTGGACGTGACAGATAGCACAAAAAAGTCTCCATTTCTTCTACTAAAGCAACACTGTGGGATAATGGGATAAAGGTCGCTTTGTGTTTGTGTCAACCACCAATCACCTCATTTGGTGGTCGTGTTGTCGGTGGACCAACCAGAACACCGTTCGTTTGCATGATGCCTTCTTTAGCTATATTTTGTCACTTCAGAAACGTGTGCTAATGCTAAGTTGTGTTAGCATTGAGTCACGCGCCCACTGTTTTCGCCTTCTTAAATTTGCTGTAGTTTCTTATTCGTTTGTACTGATCACCCAACAAATGTGCAAGAGTGCTTTGGTTTCTCATAATATGTGCGATGGGAAACGGTGTTTGGGTGTTTTGATACCAATATGCTGACTGTTGTTTTGGATAAAAAACACCTGCAGATAATAAAACCATGCACGCGCGTGGGCACACATCGCGTACACACAGCAGGAGTTCATATCATGCAGGTCACATGACAGCAGAAGCTGATAAGGGAGCAGCTGTTCTGTGTTGATGTGTCAGTTTCAAGGGCGTATTCATGTTTGTCACGCTAAGGTTAGCCATTTTGTACTCGCTAAGAAGCTACAAATGTGGAAAATGCGGGTATTTCCGTCTGTTATGGTACGTTTTGCCCTATTTTCTTCAAACAGTATGAAAATATCGCTATTTGATTGTTAATGGGTGGAGGTGTTTTCCAAACCAAACATGATGCAAATGTTTCTATTATTGTGACTGGTCATTTGCATTTGAGTCACAGAGGATGCGAGTAGACTTTGTTTAGTGTTTCGGCTTCTCAGCACTTCATCCTAATACTAATAAATAAATAAAAATACTCATAAAGAGTTTGTCCTATTGCTGACTTTTTAAGAAGGAGATGTTATTGGACAAACCTTTTGTGATGTGATGAGAAGGTAGGGATGAGCACAAGTGGTAATTTCCCGAATTCACATCCTGAACCACGCCATCACTGTGAAACGAAGCATACATGTGTTACCGGCACTGAAGAGGTTACAGCTCGAGATGTTTGCACTTAAAACGTCATCACTTTACACTTGAGATTGTACCACTTTATATGTTAGCACTTCAGACGAAAGCACTTTCGATATTCAAACGTTTACGACTTGAGACTTTGGAAGAGACGTTGGAACATTTGGTTGTGGAAACATCAGACTTTATGACTTCTGATGTTAAAACTTGATACTGTGACTAAATATTGAAAATGCAATTAGCATGAGTCGGCATTGGGGATGTACTAATTCAAACCAGTCACAGTGAGTCATTTTATTCAAATAAAGAAAAGTCATCATGTCACGATGGTGTTGATGAGTCATATTAGTCACTGCTGTGCCCTTCACTGTGTCATCTTCATTTGATGGATTTTGCAACTGCTCGTTGACCAAGGGTGGATTGTTTGGATTGTAGGTCTATTCTTCGGCAGTGGTTGAGTTTATTTTAAACTCGTATGACAGTGAATGCTGTTAATATGTTCATCAAAAAATACTTTGATACTTTGCTCTGTGGTGACAAAAGATTATTTCTATTTGCCGATGGGTATTTTTCGTTCATCTATTTTCGAATCCGGTTATCCTCGCAAGGGTCGCAGGCGTGCAAACTCCACACCGAAAGGCCAGAAGCATGGAATCGAAGCCCGCACCTCTGCGCTGCGAGGCCGATGTTCTAACCCAGGGGTCGGGAACCTACGGCTCGCGAGCCATACATGTCTCTTTTGATGATTGAATCTGGCTCGCAGATAAAATATTCTCGCTTGTTTAATCCATCCATCGATTTCTTACTGCTCATTTCCTGTTCGGGGCAGCAGTTGGCTCCAGGAGCAATTTTGATTGGATAATACTGGCTTACGTTGCTGCTGAAACAGGTAACCGCCCCCTTTTGAATCAGCCCGCTCGGTCATTCGCTCAAAGTTAATCCTAAACGAATAAAATGGCAAAAAGAAAAAAAGATGACGAGTATGGTCGACTTCAGGACGAATGGACCGAAGGATTCGCCTTTGTGGAGAGAACAGGTTCTGCGGTGTGTCTTATTTGCAATGATAAAATACCATCGATGAAACGGTCGAATGTGAAGCGGCACTTTGACACGCGCCATGCTACGTTGCTACGTTCGCATCCAAAAACTCTGCAAGAGACAGCGGAAAGGAAGCGTGCAAGATCGTGAGCAGGGTGCAAGCTTGCCCGCAGCAACTCCGCGTATGGACCCGGCAAGCTGACTATAATTTCGCTCGTTTTGCTGGATTTTTAGCAATCGTGAGGAACGGAAAACCATTCACGTTCATGGTGAGTATTATCACAAAATTATTTAAAGGGCTTATTAGACTGACATTTTGTTGAATTCACTTTTAAAATACAGTTTGCACGTCGCCCCGTATTTTTCTTTCTTTCAACAAATATGTTGAACTTGCGACACACTCGCCGCAAACACCCGCTAAAGAGACAACCACGGATATGAATCTACTCACAGCTATTTTCGATGTGACTGACTATTTCCCGGAGAGGTGTGATGGTGTTGTGGCATTCTGGGCCACGGTGGTCACACTTTGGTGAGTGTGTGTTTGTGTGTATGCACACTAGATGCACCGCAAGTATGTCAGACCTGGTAGGGGTGGCGACAGTGCAGCCGGTGCCGTCCCAGGCGCAGTATGGGTCTCGCGCCAACACGCACTCCTCGCAGGTGTCTCCGTAGTGGTCACAGTCGGCCACGTCCATCTGGACGAGCTGAGTGCGAGAGCTGACGTAGAGTTTTTTCTGCGAAATGCTTCATGTTAGGGTGAAATGCATTTAGCCGGTGAGGAGGATGTTACCTTTCATCGACTCACAGAGGAAGGATGGTGGATGATGCTGTCGATATGAGCTCTGTGCGCAAAAGGTCTGTATTCTGCGATGATGAAGGCTGCGCTCTTGCTCTCCAACACCTTGTCCACTCCTCCGCAATCTGCAGAAAAAAAAACAAAAAACAGCAAGTTAGAAGGGAGAGTAAAATATCCCCAGAAAGTCCAATTAGGCAAAAACAACCTAAAAATGTACAAATATCAGACTACCGGTGTTTTTAGACAGCATTACAATTTTTTTCTTCCCCCCAGACTTTTGTTCTTCTGGCTTCTAATGGGCTCTAATGGAAGCGTACTGTAGTAGTTTTCCATAAGTCCTCGTTTCCTTCAATCACTATCATTATCGTTCGACAATAGACTCTTTACTGTCATCGACTTTCTTCAGGCTTGCGAATGGCTCAACTAGACTTATAGAGGTGACTTCATCAGTCCACAATTCTGCATTTTCTCCCAATTATCATCACTGTTTGAAGTGCCTTTTCTGCAAAATGACTTTGTTCAGCCGTCTGATTGGACTTACACTGTAGTGGTACTCCTCTAATCAGTGGCATGGAACTTTTCATCCCGCAAATGATATTCTTCAGGCTTGTGTTAGGCCAAAATACACTTACACAAGACATTTTTATCATCTGTCCACAACTGCTCATTTCCTCTGATTGCTATCAATGTTCTAAGGGTTTTTTTTTTTTTTTCTGGAAATGACTTCTTCAGGAAGTCGCTGATGGTGTCGCAGTTCATTTGCCTAACAGGCAGCAAGGGTTCAGATGCTCGTCGGTGATGGCGTGAATGTGAATGGGAACGTTTGTCTGTCTCTTTATGTGCCGTGTGATTTGCTGGCGACCAGTCTTGGGTGTAGGCTAGACTTGGCTGCCCTTGACCCCTTTCACACTGTCTGTAACAGCCACTGTCTGCCTTTGAAGATAGTATTCAAACCTCATTTAACGGGACAAAACTGCACTGAGCGACAGTTTTCCACCTTTGGAGGTAGGTAGTATTCAAAGCTCCATTCACGCTTTTTGTAAAAGCCGACATTTATGAGCCATTTTATTCATAGGTTGATATGCTGCCACAAAAGTAATGGCGTAGACCCAAAATTGGGGAGACAAAGTTTTCAATGTTCTGCCTTTGAAGGTACTATCAGGAATCCCTTTCACACTGCCTGTACAAGTTATTAAGTTATCAAGTAGGTATTGATCGGAAATGCCCTGTCGTTGTGTGAAAGCACACACAATGGTGGTGATATGTCACTTTGCTGGGTTCTGTGTGAAAGGAAAGTTGGATATATGCTGGGTCTTCTGCTATAGCTCCTGTGTTGCAATTTTGCTGGTTCCCTGGGTGAAAAGGGCATGGGTGCTAATTTTCACATAGTTACACAATCATTTGCCGACACTAAACGTACATTTTGAAAGTTTGAGGTTGTAACTCATCAACTCAAACTACTGAGATGGTGATGACGTGATTTCAAAACGACCATGAAAGCTCCGTCCTCCCTCACTGCTTTGCACAGCGGTGCGTGACCAACCAAACCCTTGACGTTTCTTTACTATTGGTTCATGACGATGTGGTCATCCCCAAGTGGGTGAGAGCTACAATGGGAACATTGTGTGAGTGTTGCTGCTTTTTTTGCAGGAAGCTTGAGTCAGCACGTCATGAGCCAATACTGTATCACATTTACTCCATGCCCAGACTAGTTTGCCCTATCATGTGCCAATATCACATTTACTCCATGCCCAGACTAGTTTGCCCTGTTTCAACGACTGCAAGTTGCATTGTTGCATATCACAATGAGCCGTTGAGGGCGTAGTCACCGCAGGGTTATTTGAGGAATGACAGAGATTTGTAGATTATTTGTAGCTATTCTGTGTGTGTGTATATGTGTGGGGGTTTTTGTTTGTTTTTTGTGCAGGGTGGCACTAAGCGTTACTGTGAAAGACTGGCGAAAGGATAATTGTATAATTGGTAAACTGAGTCCATGCATTTTTTCATGCATGCTGTTTCCTTTGTCTATTGATGATTTGTTGTCATTCTGTGCATTTCTATTGCAGCGGTAAGGAGCGCATTCATTCCCACTCCCCAAATGTACCCGACTTTCAGTGTTAAGACGGCAAAGCACGGTTGCAACAAAGGCCTAGTGTGACCCGCTTCCTCGAAGCAACAGTTGACCTCGTTTTAACAGCGGCGGCAGTGTAAGGCGGCATGTTGGTGTGAGGCCCCCCCTCCGAAAGGCAGGAGTTATTTTCAGTTTCACGTTGCTTACTTCGAGTCAAAAAGAGAAGCGTGTTTTCCTTTGTGAAAGCAGCGTCGGCGCGGATGTGAGTATACATGTGGTGGCTGATGAGAAGTGGGCCCGATTTCTTTATAGGCCTCACCCACTCTTCCATCTCAGAGTTGATCTGGGTCATTTTCAGGACGTCCATAGAGAGATGTGTGCTGTCTGAAACGCACTGAAGAAGAGAAACATTTTTGTGGGGGTCGGTCGCATCCTCGAATGTCACAGTCAAAGATCAACTGTTTAATTTTGATGCTGTCGTACCTCCCTGGGCCGGCCCCTCTGATTGTGTGTGCCTTTAAACGGCGAGTTGGTGAAGACGTCCTGGATGTCCTGCGAGGAATAAACGCATATGGCGCTCATGTTCCTGCAAACAGAATGTGACACTGTTTTGAAACCCGTTCAGCTGTATCAACAGCTGCTGCAGCGCAGAGAGGGTCAATGGTTATACCAGCCGGAGAATAACAAACATCCTGTCATTTGTGCGCAAACAGCAACGAGTGGAGCAACACGTCAACATTGACGCACGGCACACACTCATCTAAAATGGTGGCAAGACCAGATCCATTTATTTACTGAAGCAGATCACTCATACCGCTCATTATTAATGTCTTAAACTAACCACCCTTTCAGAAACGTGGATGATGTCGAAGAGGTAGGAACTGAACGCATGTTTTTTCATAAGCACGTTGTAGTCTTTAACTAAACTACCGGTATGTACATTTTCATAAACATCAACAATTAAAGTCTTCCATGAACTGAAGTGTTTGTGGTTTTGCATAACACCAAATATAAGTGAGGCGACAATGAACCTGATGAGAGACTTAAGCAAGCCTAATGTAATTTTTTTGGTCAACATTGAAGATAATTTGGTCTTCAACCACCCTAAATTATGTGTTTTTGCCAACAAAAATAGAATCTAAGCCACACTAGGTTCCCACTCGACAAAACACCAAACCAGCTAACTTCTTGGAAGTGAGCCATCCTTGCTAACCACTTGTTTAAAGTCATACCATTCATTCCTGAAGAGCACATAAACACGGGTGTCCTGCCATTGCTCTGCGTGCACGGTGGCAATGTCCACCATCTCGAAGAAGTGTTGTTTGCTCTTTGGGTCACCACACAAGAGCCTGGCGCTCATCTGGGAAGTCCAGGTGAACTGCAGGTTGTTCTTGGGTCCACCCATGTCCGCCTGAGGAGAAGCAACGTTACAGTGTAATATATACAACATATACAGTACAAGTTGTATTGAACTTCATATGTACGATGAAATAGCAAAGTGTGAAGAGTCTCTGTCACGAAATGCATGTGAGCTTTCCATAACCAAATTAAATTATATTTCCAAATACAAAGGGGGCGGCCCGGTGGGCCAGTGGTTAGCGCGTCGACCTCACAGTGCAGGGGTCGTGGGCTCGATCTAGGCTCCGGCCTTCCTGTGTGGAGTTTGCATGTTCCCCCCGGGCCTGGATGGGTTTTCTCCGGGTACTTCGCTTTCCTCCCACATTCCAAAAACATGCATGGCAGGCTTGATTGAACACTCAAAATTGTCCCTAGGTGTGAGTGTGAGTGCGGATGGTTGATCGTCTATGTGTGCCCTACGATTGGCTGGCAACCGGTTCAGGGTGTCCCCCGCCTACTGCCTGAAGACAGCTGGGATAGGCTCCAGCACCCCTCGCGACCCTTGTCGCGGGCTAGCCATACTGCAAAGTGTATGTATAGTATATATTAAGTGTTTTAAAACAATACTTAACTATATTGATAATGTCATATGTACCTGTGGATAAATCATTGACATTTGTTGTGGAAATTCACTACTTCAATTGAATCGACAGCCTCTGAAATGTCCAAACGTTCTCCTTCCATTTCTTGTCCCTTTCCTTCCTTTCTTTGTGTCATGATATTATGTATCGAGTGAACAGGGTGTTGTCTGTGGTTCAATAAAAAAATAACAATGCAGTGTCGGTGCCGCCTCAGAACAGTTCCTGTTCAGAACAGCGGGGGGCATGGGGATTTTCTTGCATCCATTTTGTATATGTGGACTAGGGTCATTTACTTGTTATGGAGTTGGTTTACGGACTGTTTCTCTTTTTGTTTCGCAATCGTGCAGTTCAGTCGCTCTCAGGCCACGTCGCACCGTGTGCGGCAGCGCTAAATACTCACCATGCAATACTGGGAGACGTACGGAAGCCACGCGCTGCTCCACTCGTTCAAATCTTTATTTCTCTCCTTGTAGAAGGCGTAAACTTTGTCCTGCAAAGGTTCATCCCTCCGTCTGCTCGTCACCAAACCCAAGTAGTGCTGCTCTACAGGCAGAAGCATAGAAAAACAAACACACACCTAAGCTCATTTAACAATACAAATATCAGCCGCTTATTCAAAATGACCCATCAACATTTTCTGCTCGGCCTTTGCCTGTGGTGAAAACCACACCTGTTTTCGGTGCGGCTTGGCACTGTCACGCCATGGCATGAAGTACACGTGCACGGGCTATTGACATCCGATAGAAGAGTCCTATCAATAATTTGATCCACTCATTCATCTGTGTCACGCGTGAGGTTACTCAGAGGAAACCCCACGTCTGCACACCGGAGAACGCACAAATTCCACGCAGGGAGACGAGAGCCCAGATATCAACCTTCAACTTCAGAGCTATGACGCACACATACAAACTATTCATCCACTGTATCAAGAACTCTGTCCTTATCAAAGATAATGTGATCTAAGAGAGACTTTCATTGAACAAGGTTGAATATGAACGTTAGCATATGTCCGAATGTTTGATACAGCACTTTGTAGAAAAAAAAAAAAAAAGTAAATGGTAAACCGCAAGAGTTTAATCGGGGCTGTTGACTCTTATGACTGGAGTCACATGTGGCAATAACCAAACAACAACTCTCTTGTGAGCAGTCCTAGCGACACACCCACCAGAAATGCTACACCTAAGATTTAATACTTGAGAAGTCTTTCCATTTACAGGTGAAGCATCTTTAACAACCAAAAATAGTCCGACTCCTTCCAATCAACTCTTGCGGCTTACCGTGACTGGAGATGGCCACAGCCACTCGTATGGGACTTCACGTGTTACCTTTATCGTGGTTAGCTGGTCCCACTCTGTTCTTCCCAAATTTGTGGACGCCCACGTACTCCTGAGAGCCGGAGTACGTTACATACAGCGAAGAACTTGTTTCAGATTCTGGAATTGAAAAATAAATATATAACAAGAGAACCAATCGCATTGTCTCTCGCAATTGCCCAGTCAGGAGGGACCTTCGCTAACTCTTAAGATAGCTCGGCCCCCCACCTTGTGTACCAACTCACCAACGAGAGCAGAATGTTCAGCGTCCTTCAAGATAAAATTCCTGATACTCCCTCGCATGCTCTCCAGGTCGTCAGCCGGTATGCAGGTGGGAGGATCCTCTGATGGATTCTACAAAGAAACACAGGAAGTCAGCAAAAAGCCGCCTTCTTGTAATCTCGAGTGTCTCACCATGTCGCAGCAAAGTGTTTTTGCTCCGTCCGTCCCGCATACAAACACCCGGCTGGCGTCCTCCCTCTCGTGGGCCAGAACCACATCGTAGCTGCAACCCTGAACGACATTTTAGGACGTGAGAACCGAGCATCGACCTACCAGAGTGCTGCGTATGTGTGTGTGTGTGTGTGTGTGTGTGTGTGTGTGTGTGTGTGTGTGTGTGTGTGTCTCACATTTGGCGATGCTGCGGTGTCGGGGCACTCGGCCCATAGCAACTTTCTTTCCACGGGGGTCTGCAATGGAAGGATGACAGAGAGTTGCCCTGTTGCCTGATATTGATTGAAATTTCGTGACCTGCTGGCCACTTGAGGAATATTTTCGACATACTGTAGTTGTAACATTTTAATTGAAGGTTTGCCGACACAGAACCCAGCAAAAGAAGGATCTTGCTGCAACTGTGTGCGCAATCAAGTCGTTTGAGTCATTCCAAACCATCTTCCATTCATTTTCAACTTCACATTCCACATTAGGATGAAAAATTATCCGATTGCACTTCATAATTCCAAAAATGATGATTGATGTACTACATACAGTATAAGGCACCTTTGTTTACGTATCTACGCCGGAAGCATACCTCAATGATTTTGATTCACATTTAATTATACGATATGACTGTGTGTATGTATACACTGTACGGTCATGGTCAAAACTAAAATTGTTTTTTTTTTTTTTTTCAATTGAATTATTCAATCTTCAAGCGACATTTAAAAGAGTGACGAAGCCTTTTGATTTTAATAGACGATGTCAATAACCAGAAATCATCCATCCATCCATCCATCCATTTTCTGATCCGCTTTATCCTCACAAGGATCGCAGGGCGTGCTGGAGCCTATCCCAGCCGTCTTCGGGCAGTAGGCGGGGGACACCCTGAACCGGTTGCCAGCCAATCGGAGGGCGACCAGAGACGAACAACCATTCACGCTCACATTCACACCTAAGGACAATTTAAAGTGTTCAATCAGCCTGCCATACATGTTTTTGGAATGTGGGAGGAACCCAAAGTACCCGGAGAAAACCCACGCAGGCACGAGGGGAACATTCAAACCCCACACAAGGAGGCCGGAGCTGGAATTGAACCCGGTACCTCTGCACTGTGAGGTTGATACGCTAACCACTGGACCAACGGCTCGCCTGACCAGAAGTCATTTCGACATATTTTGTCACACGTTTTTCAATTATTTAATCACTTTCAAGTGCAGTTGGTTACCTTGGGAGGATACAGGAAGCTGAGAGAGATCAAATGTCTTTTTCCGACTGCCATCAGCTTGCCATGATCTCTTTCTGGATGAAGAAGTGTGCGGATTTCCCCGGGTAAGATCACGCTTTTTAGTGCGATCTCTGCCAAGGGAAACATCAAAGGATAAATTAGATAATGGGTATATTGAATTAAGTCCAAGTCAAATTTGCAGCATGAGGTTTGAATCAAACCAGAAAGACCTGCATGTTGATGTAATTACTTTTTAGATGGGATTTTAGCAAACATTTTCAGAAAAATACATCCCCGCATTGACTCCTGATCTCACCAACTCCGCAAATCTCAGGAGACTTAATCTTCGTGGACTGACTGATTTTTTTTTTTTTCACTGCGCTACCAGGGAAGGATACTACCACGTATAAAATATGACAGGTGGGATGTTTTATGACAAAGATGAGTTTTTAACTACAAGTATAGGCCAGTGATTGACTATGGCACATTTATGCAGAAATGTGGGTTGCATCACCATAGCAAAAAATAAAACTAAAATTAATTGACAAAATTCAACAAGATGAGGTGTCGCAAGATTTGAGAAGCGGGTGTGATGTAGTGAGATTTGGTGTTGCTTCAGAAGTGTCATTTTCCAGAAAAGTTCGCTCAAATACCATCTTAATTGTAATTCAATCAGGAGGATGTAGAAAAAATATAGATTTTGAAAATCCTTTTTTTCCATTGGCCACTGACGAAGAACAACAAAATGGAACGGAAACCCCTTCTGGGTAATATGATAACTTTTTGCTTTCGATAACATGAACTTTAAACTGATCTGCAATTCCATTCGCTCACTGTCTGCAATAGTTGCGTCTTTCTCTTTCACTCATGTTCCTGTTTTCATTGAAAACAAGAACGATTCTACACAAATAGAGAACCAAGCTCCAGCCATGAATTGAGTTTTTTGGTTCTTTTATTTAGTGGCTACAATGTAGTTATGACATGCACAGAAAATGCTGATTTGGAGGTTCATCATCATGACCATCGACAACAGGGGCAAATGGTGTTCACCTTTGAGAAAAAATGCCTTGTGGCAAGGGTCTTTCCTTATTCTGTTGTCAATGCCAAGTTTTTCAAAAGGAAATTCAATTTTACTATACTAGATCTGTTTTCCATGTTTTTAGCTCGGGCCTCTACCTCCACCGAAACGTTTATATTTAGATAAGGATCTCTCACTTTGCTTTCCCAACTATCCAGTACAAGCCACAACTATTTTTGTGGCCACAAATGTGTTTTGTACCCACGTTATATCAAGCTCTAGGTTACAGATTAGTATTTTGTGACCACAAATGAGAATTTGGTGCCCACTTTGTATCAAAATTGTGGGCAAAAATGATTTGCTTTCGGAAAGTACCCAACCACGTCATGTCTGTGGGGCTCCGTGCATGAGCATCATCATCTTCTAGGCCACAGTGACAAACTCAAGGCCCAGGGGCCAGATTCGGCCCACCGTGGGGCTTCGTGCATGAGCATCGTCATCTTCTAGGCCACAGGTGTCAAACTCAAGGCCCAGGGGCCAGATTCGGCCCACCACATCATTTTATGTGGACCCCTAAAGAAAATCGTGGATGTTAACTTCCATGATGCTTGCAAAAATCTGGACAGAAATTCTACATTGTCATGTGAAATAAATAATGAGATTTTGCTATAATTTTGTTCCCCTGGTTACACTCATGCAACAATAATTGAACAAATAGTTGACTGATTTCAAAACTAGTAAGCCATCATTTTTTTTGTTTTTTTTTTTTGTTTTTGTAATCATACGATGCGATGATGAAACGTTTATTCGGTTTCTGTCGTCACAAGACGTAACCCCAAAGTGGCCCGCGACAAAAATGAGTTTGACACCCCTGTTAGGCTGTGTGAGAAGTTAGCAGCAGCAGCAGACAGAGCACAAACACACTCAGAAATACGCCATTTCACTTGTCTACTGTACAAAGTACATTGCGCAAGTGCAAGTTGTCAGCTTTAAACACCTGCCCCTCCAAAGGTCCCTGCAATTAACACTCAGTAAAAACTCACAACGTGGGGTAACGAGCAACAAAAAGTGATTTAAAACAAGTAGGCTGAATAAAGACAGCAGCCACACGGTTAAAGTCGACTTTCAAAAAAGAGAGCTCAGTCTCATTTCATCGTAGATTTCCTGCTTGAATAATGTTAAAACAACTTCACGAGTGATCACCTACCGTCCTGTGTGAACGTCATCCTCGGTAAAAGCGTCGGGTCCAGTGAATTGACACAAGAGAGGAGCCATGAAACATGATGAATAAAATACAACGCCGGCAGAAATTTGGTCATCCTTCTGCGTGACTGGCAGGCGCGCACCCGTAACAGAAGTGGTCAATCCGCAACTGACGAAGACTGGTTTCGAACTTCGACTTGATGACATAACTGAGGTGGATTCCCCTCCTCCTTTCCCCCCTATTCATTTCTCGTAACATTTGTACATGTATTTGTTTTCATCAAATAAATGAGGTTATGAAATAAATAAACATTTGACGTTTGGATTTGAGTAAATAATCCTTTTATCAGCAATAAATACACAAATAAAAGAAAACCAATTATATATTACATCATCATCAAAATTAAGTTTACAAACATATTTTCGCTACTAATCTACAAATAACCTGGCCCAACTGTCTGTTAATAAATAAGAAAGAAGAGCATTTTTTTCTCATCCCTTGGTTAAAAAGTAAACTTTATACCAGCAGGTGGCACTGAAGGATCGTCAAATTCTGCACTCCGGCCGATTTCACTGCATCGAATGAAATCCAATCCACAAAAATATGCCCATGCAAAGATGAGAATCCATATGCAATACTTAACATTACATTAAATAGGCTTTTGCACTAATAAAACAATCAATAGCTATCTCATCTATCCAAACAATTAGCATTATAACCATGAAAATAAAACGGGGAGCATACTGTAGCTGGCATGATTGATCCCAGGAGGGATTCTAATTCTTCGTTCATAGTCCATTTCATTGGGGACTGTAGAATAACTGCAGTAAATGAATGGAAGGGTGGTGGGGGGCTTCTTGATGATGATGCTGGACTCACACTGACTCCACACACTGCAGAGTGGCAGACGCAATCATGTCACACTACATCCTGCCAGGTAAGAATCAGCATTTTCTGCTCTTTTTTTTTTTTTTTTTGCGGGAGGGGGGTGGGGGGGTTAAGAGTTTGTATTATTGAAGTAGCACTTTGGAGCTACATGATTCATCTTTTCATTCTTAATTTTAGCCCAAAATATTAATGAAATGTAGCCTCCTTGATGATAAACATCCGCTGCATGCTGAATTCCGAAGTCAAAATGTAGGACCGGATCAGATATCATTGCAATGGGGTTCAAATTAAAAGATGACTATGAAACAAAAATTCTGATTTCCTACTGTTTCATGGTACTTTCATCTAGCTGTATTTAACAACTCATGACATTTTGTTTGAAGCCATCCTATTTTCAAGTGAGCAAAAGTATTAGAACAGACTTCGAATAACTTTTAATATTTGGTAGCAGAACCCTTACTTGCAAATTTTGCATCAAACTTATGCCTGCCACAATCACAGCAGGGCAAGTGAGGAGGACATATTACGTTGACGTCAGCAACTCAAAAGACCATTTGAACCCGTTCCATAAAAGAAACCACGGGAGCCACAAATCCTTTGGAAATCTAAAATGAAGGGCATTTTTATTTTGCTTAGTGTTTCTGCCTCAGACGGGGGGGGGGGGGGGGGG